TTTTGGTAGTTGTTGGCACGTGTGAGTGAGGTAGACAGAGACGTTTGCCGGTGCTGAGGGATGCCGGGCGTGAATCGATACCGGTATGAAATGACTTTGCCGCGCGTGAAAGGTGCCGATATAGAAAGATGTGTCAGGCGTGAAAAGTGCCGGTATGTAAAGATTTGCCGCGCGTGAAAGTTACTGTCGTGCGTGAAAGCTATTGCCGTGCGTGAAAGCTCCTGCCGTGCGTGGAAGACGATGCCGGGCGTGAATCTTGCCCGTGCTGAAAGATGCCGGTATAGTAAGATTTTGCCGTGCGTGAAAGATGCCGGTGTAGTAAGATCTGACGGGCGTGAATCGTTGCCGGTGCTGAATATATGCCGTGCGTGAAAGACGAAAAGTGCCGTGCGTGAATCAACCTCGTGCGTAAAACCTCAACACCTCAATCGCCAATATCCTCCGAACGTATGTAGGCACAGCCTTTGAAAATAAACGATTCAATCGTACCAAACGAATGTAAATATCGCAATCTCTCCAGAGAGCAAAAGACGCAAATCCCCGTTCCAAACACCCACCCGGGGCCAACCGCATCTAAGTATAACCTACTGCCCCAACGCCAAACGCCTCCACATGGCGTGGAAGCGCCGAACATGCATTATCTCACGCCAAACGAGTTTGGGGCCCAGCGGTCACAAAGCTTGTTTGGGCAAGTCGACACGTTGGTTGCTTGCGACGGTGCTGAAACACGATCCTTGACTCGACCCCTGGCAACGCATAAACATGTGCACGCTGCACACGTAAGAAGGACGAGGCGGGCAGAAGAACGGCCTTGTTCGAGTGTGAGGGAGAAAAGGAGAGCATGAAGATGGTGATGTAATAGAAGGAATCGGACAGTAGACACTTTTTGGCTATGCTGATTTCGATATTTCGCGCTATGGATTGGGGTATGACTATGCTAAAACAAACAAGAAAGGCAATGACGCTCTATTACAACTGACGTAAAACAGGTGTAACGATGCAAAGCGCAACGTACACAGACAGGATGATGGGGAGTGATCGGACGAAAGTGGTTGTGGTGCCTCTTCTTCAACGTGATGGTATACGTCTAAATCTACATTGTGCGCAGTCCTTGTGGGACTGACTGACCACGATGGTGACGGTATACACGAATCTAACATCGCGGAATCAGCGCCTGGAATGCAAACTCACAGAGAGGCCATTCGTGCATTATAGCCGCGATTGCAAATATATACATCCTCCGCCGTGCTGTCGTCTCTCAAAATCGCTTCTAACTCAGACAAATTCCGCAGATAGTCGTTGGTATCGTAATGGGCCCTCATGGGCCTATGTACTTTGGTCGGGCTGCGCTTCGCCTAGAAGTTGGCAGCTGCGTTGGGGCGTCCTCCTGGGTTGTGGTACTGCTCCAGGTTCGACTGGAAGGGCGATGAACCGGTGCCGTTCTGAGGCTTGTCGCCGAGGGCTGAGCCAGTGCCGGCCATGAGGTCGTCGTCGTCTTCGTGGACACGTGCTTGGCGCTTCTTCATGCGCCAGAAGACGAGGGCGATGCCACCGAGGAGTAGGGCTCCACCAACGCCACCAACTACACCTCCGATAACTTTCTTGTTGGAGTCACTAATGCCACCGCCGTTGTCGCTGTCACCTGCTTGTGCGGTGGGCGGGTCGGTGACGACGGCTTCACCGGTGGAGGAGACGGAAGTGCTGGTGCCTGTCGAAGTCGCTTTGGTTACTCTGCCATCGCTCAGGGTTGTGTCGAGAGTCGTGGTATACTCGAACACCGAGGTGGCGAAGAGAGCGGAAGTCCTGACAATCGCGGTCGTTCTTACGGAAGAGCTGCCATCTTCGGTGGCCGTTGGTGAGTTAGCGGCGCCGCCACCACCTCCACCAGTGCGACTCGTGCCCGCCGCGGTTGTTGAAGCGTCGTTGTTGTTGTTGCTGTTGTTATTATTGTTATTGTTGCCGCCATCAGAAGTGGGTGCGGCAGCGGTAGTCGAAGGTGCGGGAGCGTCGGATGTGGGATTGTCCGACGGCGGTGGGTTGTTGGTGGTTGAGGGTTCTGGGTCGGGAGTCGCGGATGTTGCTGGAGGTGCGGCCGACGATGTGGCAGGTGGTGCGGCGGAGGACGCTGGTGGTGCTGCTGAGGATGGCGCGGGCGTGGCGGATGGTGATGAGCCGCCAGTGCCTTCGGCGTCTTGCCTCTTGCCCTGATGGAGGTACTGGTTGATACCGTCCATGTGTAGATCCTCGAGGGTAAAGGCCGACGATGCGACAGTCAAGACAAAAACGGAGAGCCAGGCCTTGGGCAACATGGTGGGCGGTTGTTGTTGGTAGCAGGAGGACTGGTAGCGTTTTTACGATGGAGCTGACTGACGCGCGTTTCACGAACAGCCAAGGTTATATTAAGGGCGATAGAGGTGAATCTCGTCGCCTATAAGCTATGTGGATGGATCAAACGAGTGAACGGGTAGAGGCAAGAGAATAGTGTAGCGAATGTTAGCCGGAAGCCAGTGAAGGTGCCGAGTTGAATGACAGGTGATCAAGAGGAGAAAGCCCAGGAGAGTTTAGGGTCGGCTTCACTCTTCCAAGGCTGCGACACATGGTCACGTGATACCTAATTTTACACATCAGCCGCCAGGGCAGTCCAGACCCATCCACAGGGGCTCACCAGCACTGGCCATACAAAACGGTGGTCAGTCACAGTCATTGAGTCAATCTTGCTTCGAAGGTTTTGCATAACCAACCAACAGCATTCGTTCTATTGTGGTGTGTCGCGTGGCTGTACCTAGGTACGGATAACGAAGGTTTTCTGTCCTCGTTCCGTATCTGGCCATCGTATACTGTACCACGGTACTTCAACGCGCCCCCAAACGCACTGCATCAGTTGTTGAAGTACAGACGTTGTTTATAAAAAGCGCCCGGGACCTTTCACTGCCCTGCATATGCGCCCCAAAGGCTTGACAGCTCGAACAAAAATTCTGTCCCTCAACAGAAACACCAGGGAGATTTGCACACAGATGACCCGAGAGACTAGTAGTCTTTTACTGCCCTACTAGCCCACCTCTGCTTTTTTAGTCCGACATCCCGCTGCATTGCTCGACGCGCATCGTACCTTAGCAAAACCTCCCTTCCCATTCGTCCAACCCGCCAATCTTTACAACTTTTGCTGCTTCTAAATCCGTTTCTGCAGCGGCCCCATTTCGCGGCCCCCTCGGCTGGACAGGCTAGTTACGGCATTCTCTCCGTCTTGGACGTGCGTCATCAAGCCCTGCGATTTCTTTGCATGCCCTTGTACGGAGTACCAGAAGCAAGAAATCATTATTACCTGTAGCCGCGCACGCGCTGTGTGGGCTGCACCCTTACCCGTCCAACCCCCGTTGTCCGTCATCACGCAACGCAACCATGCTCGCAGCTGTCATGTCGCACAGCGTGTCGCTGACAACTCACGAGGCGCTTTCCGGTGTCTTCGGCTCAATCTCGCTGGCTTCGTGGATCTTTCTGTTGGTGAGTAAACAACTTGATACGACGACGTTGTTGTTCTTCATTTCCTATGCTTTCGCGGACGTACAGGGACCTTGACACGTCGTCCTGCAATGTTCATGTATCTCTGATACCACCTGCGCTATTCATAGAACCGCGACTGGAGCTGCAGCACGCGACATCACCTGGGCATACATCACCAAATCGCATCCTAACACACCGCGCAGGTCCCGCAACTAATCGAAAACTACAAATCATCCTCCGCTGATGGCATCTCCCTCGCCTTCCTCGTCGTCTGGTTCGTCGGCGACATAACCAACCTTGCCGGCGCCCTCTGGGCAGGTCTCGTCCCCACCGTCATCGCCCTCGCAATCTACTTCTGCTTCGCCGACCTCGTCCTCATCTCGCAATGCGTATACTACAACATGAAGAACTCGCGCCGCGGCGAGCGCAAGACCTCCGTGCAGTCTACAAACAGCGTTGAGGCGCCCCTGCTGGGCAGACGCGATAGCAGCAACGTCGGTCTTCCGGGAAGCCACAGGCGTGATTCTGCGGCTAGTCGCAGACGGCGCGCGAGTTCGCTGCCTACGATTCCGGATGTGGGCGATGGCGCGAGCGAGTGGGTTAAGAATGCGCTGAGCATCGTGGGTGTCTGTGTTGTTGGTGCCGCGGGCTGGGCTATCGCGTGGAAGACTGGTGTATGGGTTCCGCAGCCTCAGCATAATACGGAGGACACCACGGATAACCCTGTTGGTGCCATGATCTTGGGATATGCAAGCGCGGTGGCTTATCTTGGAGCGCGCATTCCTCAGATCATTAAGAATCAGAGGGAGAAGTCCTGCGAAGGCTTGTCGCTGCTCTTCTTCATGTTGAGTCTTTTGGGCAATGCTACGTATGGCGCAGGAGTAAGTCTAAGATCTTTGTCAACATCCTAAATGGAATCGCGGGTCTAACATCTGCTAGATCATCTTCCACTCCCAGGAGAAGGAGTACATACTCACCAACCTCCCCTGGCTCATCGGCTCCCTCGGCACAATGGTCGAAGACATAACCATCTTCATCCAATTCCGCGTGTTCGGCAACGGCGAGGCATCTTCTGCCCTCGAGGCGTGATGCGCTCAGCTGTGTTTATAAAAATGATCTGTATTGGATACGTCTGGCGTTTTGATATCTACCGCAGAGCGACGGTATGATCTGCTCCAAAAGTTTGTGTGTATGTATTTGTATCACTGGTCTACGATACCCAGTCGAAAAAAAGATGAACCTATGTTTGGGCGCCGGCGGCGAGGTAATGTTGTATTATGAGAATAGATTTGGCATATCAATCTTGAAACTTGACATCAAGCTGCCCTAGTGCGCACCCACCCTGTTCGTGGTCCTCGAAAGCGACTTGTATCTGTGAAGCACCTGGAGATACACGTCGTTCACTTATGATCAGCCTACAACTCATTTGCGTAAGAAGCGCAGTACGATACGACTCAAAGAATCGCAGAAATTATCTACGCAGCCAAATCGCAAGCGCCATGTCCCCATCTGAGTCCAATCGTTCCCTCAGCCCTATCGGCCAAATGTACAGGAACGAGTATTTGCGGGCAGTCAACATCTGGAAGTCTAGCTCTCGCGACGAGGCCTACATCATTGTAGGGATCTTCTTGCTGACCCAGCCGTTGGCAAATGGCACCAAGATGGCTTCCATCTTCTCCTTGGCAACTCAGACGATTGTATGTACACACCTTTACCTTGATTATACTTTGTTCTAACTTGATTCAAGGTTACGTTGAACATGCGCAGCGCGCGCGGGATCTTTACGATGAGATGTCCAAGGAAACTCTTCGAATAGACCCGAATAAGGATGTCGCAGGACTCACTCAATACCTTGAGATGGCCGAAGTAATGCTGGCGCAGCCTCTATTGAAACCCATGGCTCGATAGAAAGAGTTGCATGCATGACAGAAGTATTGATAACCCACCTGTTTGGCGTCTACTTGTTCTACACCGTGAGACATAGCTACTTCTTCTTAACGTCAACATATGCATCGTGCTCTGAGATCATCAATTTCACGCAACATGGTGCATTAGTGTGCTAAAGACCGAACCCTTTGACAGATTTCCCGTGGGGTATATCTCCCCTTAAGCAGTCTATAAGCGCCATAAGAGACCTGAGAATGAGATCCGTAGTTTCTACCGTACCAGCCTTGCCCACTCATACCGAAAGAACAGTCTACTTAGCATGAGCGTACTTCTGCTCGTGAACGCCGATGGCACTATACAGAATTAGCTTTTTGTCTGAATGATAACTCAAAAGGGAAGACTTACCGTCCAGAAGGATCCGTCTGGTTGCTCCAAGTAGGCGTCCATCGCATGACGGTGTCGGCGCAGTAGCTGGGGAAGTGCTCGTCGAACATACACCTGTACCAGTACGCCTCCTTGGTATCCGGGATGTCATTACCCCACTCCGGTTTTGGGTTCTTCATCATCTCATCGGTAACGTGTAGCTCAGCGGTGTCCTTGAGCGCGTCAATCCATCCGTAGCCTACACCGTCAGAGAATTGCTCCTTCTGTCTCCAGAGAATCTTCTCGGGAAGGTAGGGTTGGGTCTCTGGCTCGTCGGTGGTATCGAAAGCCTTGCGCAGAATGTACTTCTCGATGCGGCCGGCTTCACGGTCGATGAGCTTGTCGGCAGGATCGATGTTCATGGCGGTGTTGAGGAAGTCCTTGTCTAGGAAAGGCACACGTGCCTCGACACCCCATGCGGATGTTGACTTGTTGGCGCGGAGGCAGTCGGCAAGGTGGAGGTTCTTAACACGGCGAATGCATTCTTGGTGGAAAGCGGCCTTGTCAGGCGCGTTGTGGAAGTAGAGGTATCCGCCGAAGATCTCGTCACTTCCTTCTCCTGAAAGCACCATCTTGACTCCCATAGCCTTGATCTTTCTGCTCAACAAGAACATGGGTGTTGAGGCGCGGATGGTCGTTACGTCGAAGGTCTCGAGGTGGAAGATGACATCTGTGAGTGCGTTGAGGCCGTCCTCAATGGTGAAGGTAAAGGTGTGGTGCTTGGTTCCGAGGAAGTTGGCTACCTCCTGCGCAGCGATGGCATCGGGTGCGTTGGGCAGACCAATTGAGAAGGAGTTGAGCTGTCCCAGAAGGAGATCTGTCTGAAGCTCGTTGGAGTCGTCGATACCAACAAGTTGGTTCTGCTGCTCGCTGGCGTTGCCCGAAGACGCTGCAGCCTTCTTCCTTGTGAGCTCGTTCAAGCGCAAAGTTTCCCGCTGCGCAATTGAAGCGACCAGACTCGAGTCAAGACCACCAGAGAGAAGTACACCAAAAGGAACCTCCGCCATCATGCGTTTCCGCACTGATCGCTCAAACGATGCCCTCAATTCCTTGTAGTTTACGGGTTGTGTAGGGATGTTCTCGGGCTCGACCAGCCACTTGGGGTCGTAGTATCGCGTGAGCGAATCCGTCTTCGAGTCGTAGACGTGCCCGGGGGGGAAGGAGATGATGTTGTCGCAGACGGGATGTAAGCACTTCAGCTCAGAGGCGAAGAATACCGCGCCTGGTGCTGTGCTGGATCGGCCCATGTAGAAGGTGGTGATACCGATCGGGTCGCGTGCTGCGATGACACGATCTTGAGCCTTATCGTGAAGGACCCAAGAGAACATGCCGTCGAGTTTCCGGGGAGCATCGATGTCATGTTCGAGATACTGCCATGCGTCAGCCTCTATCCCATACAAGAAGTGTGCCCAATATTACCAGAGGAATGATAACCTCGCAATCTGAGTGTGTCTTGAAGTTGTACGGGTTCTTGAGGGACTTGCGGAGGATTCGGTGGTTGTAGATCTCGCCGTTGACGGCCAGGGATACGGTTCCCTCATCGTTGACGAGCGGCTGAGCGCCAGACTCTGACACACGTAAGCTTCCGCCAAAAGTAATATATGGCTTGTGATTTCTTACCGACACCGACAATACTCAAGCGCTCGTGAACCAGGACTGTCTGTCTTTAGTACTGTGTGAGACTGAGTGCTCTCAGAGTCACTCACTGGTGTTGTTCGCAACATGGTTACCAGCTGTACAGTGTCAATTATCGTGATTGTTGGCGCATAAAGAGTCATAAAAGATGCTTACACCAATCTGGACCTCGATGGCTGATTTATTAGTCAGTATGGAGGTTCTCGTGGTGTAGTCGCTGAATGGAGGGGTTTCGAGGAAACACGCACCGAACGGCCTTTCCCATCTACAATTCGTTAGTGTATGCTCATATGCAGTGGATACAGTCGAAACCTACCTTCAGGGCTGTTGGTTTAAAGGTCTGCACATCGGGGTGCCTTTTTGGAGGGTCAGTATTTAATCAACATAATCGCAACACGTCTGAACGAGAGCCAATTCGACATTATCGAGCGCGCAAGAGGTGTGACTTACTTATGGCACGCGAATATGCCACACATCTTGTCTGCTGGAGTTGATTTGGGGTGAGATTATAGGGTTTTGTCGGAGTCAAAGAGAAGGCGCGTGTTTTATCTTGTCTTGGCCTGGAAATTTACCAGTCATCACTCGCAGCTATCGCTCGCCCGCGGCGACTTCGGGCATGCTCCGACCCGCTTTTGACTGTGCGTTCTGACCACGGGATTGGCACTATCTATCGTCTCGCAACTGCAGGCATGTGACGTTGGGAACCGTCACTCCACAAGTTTGCTCGCACTTTGTGCTGCTCAAATCCCAACCCCACAACTGCGATGACGGAGATGTCGCATCTTGCTATTGGCTCGTGCGCTTGCGAACATCGCCGCGACTAGACACCCACCTCTCACGCGACACGGTCAAGGCACAAACTAATACAGATATACGTAGACATTATTTTTGCTAAACAATTTCGCAACTTTGCAACTCCGAATTATGTAGCTGTTGATACATGGACGCTTGCACACAAATGTGGTCATGCCTCCCTAGCAGCTGCCACTTCGTATGTGTAACCAACAAACAGCTCCAGTTCCATCCAAGCAAGAAATACCCACATGAAAGAGAAAAGCACCTGTCCAACCTGTCGTCTAGCGCCATACCACCGCCCTGTCTCCTCATCTCCGTGTGTTGAAAGATGTCGCCCAACTTCGCGCCGTCTCCGCACAATGTAGATCCGGGGTCGCGGTTGGCGCACGGTGCTTCACTGGCCTTCCGGTGCCAGGTATGGTGGGAGGACGCTCAGAAGAGGAAATAAGCAATCAGGAAGCTGATGAGGCATAGAAGGGCGGTGATCTGGACAGATACGCCGCCTGCGGGAGCTTGCCGTGTGTCCATGGAGGTCGAAACTCCTTGCTTCGAGTCCTGGGCGGATCCTGTCTTTCGCTGGCGAAGACCAGTGGCCTCGCTGACCTGCTGTGTCAATCGCGCAATCTGGGCCTTGGCTTCAGCAAGCTGGGCCTCCACGTCGCTTGAAGATGGCATGGCACTAGCGACAGTTCCAGCAGCAGAGCTGAAGCTCGACCCCATATTACCACTTGATGCGGGGTTGTAGGTCTCATTCCTGATCTCGCCCAAGTCTTTGCTTCCCGATGGGCGCTCCGAGGGAACGGAGACAGGACCAGAAGCGTCCGATACGCCGCGCTGAGGAGTCACGGCCTCGGGGGATGGAGAGGAAAGCATCGAATCGCGGCTAACACCGTTGGTTCTCGCAGGAGTTGCGCTGGAGGCATCGTCGGGTGCGAGGAAGAGGACTCTGATCTTCTTCTCTTGGATGGAAGACTTGGCGGTCTGCTCGATGTGCGACCACTACAAGTAACTATTAGCACGAATCCAACCCTAATTCCCCAATACTATGACGTACCAAAGACCCGACGTTGGTGAACTCCTTGTCAGCGGTGACGAGGACAGATTGCACGAGGAACTTGTCGCGGCACTTCGCATCTGGCGGTGGGTCTTCCTTCATGGCTTGGAGGAGAACTGGGCGCATACGTTAGTTTGCTGCAGACATGTGGGTGCGCGCATGGAGGGCATGCATACTCTGAACTTCGACATCTTTCCCAGGCTCGATGCGTCCGCTGTTCGGCCTCACACAGTATCTAAACCCGTCATCAGTGGTTGTGGGGAGAGGTATCGCGGGCGTCGTACTGCTTGGGAGCCGTTGTTTTCACCTTGATCGTGTCAGCTGCATGTCCAAATTCCACGGGACCTCACAGGACTCCCAGAGAAGCGTGCTTACCTTGAAAGCAATGGGGTCAGAGTGCGGGTTCTTCAAGCGGAGGGTCTGCGACACCTCGTGCTGGAAGGGTCCTAGCCATCTCAGTATGTTTGCGGGCTCAATGCCGTGAACGAAGCTTACGCTTGAAACCAAGCTCTACGGGGTCGAGCTCGACGGACATGGCGGGCGCGTGTGGGTTGCGGGTATGGGGTGGTGGTCGTGTCTTCCAGGGTTGGTAATCGGATCCGCGGTTACGGGGTACCTAGGCAGGGTCGCGACGAACCTCGGGAACCAGGGGAAGAGAGACGGGCGCGTATAATGTATTGAGAAGCTGAGTAATCCGGAGATGGGGTGCGCAAACGGTGTGGGTATCGCAGCGGGTGTGGATTGGGGTGGGTGCGGATAGTAGGGAGAGGAAGGCAGATGCTAAGGACAAGTTGCTATGACGTGCAGCGACGCCTCTTGATTCTCGATCGCGAGCTGCCTCTAGTGCCCACCCACGTAGACACTCCAAGGCGACGACAACCATCACTCCTCTCGCTGAAATAGGCTGCAGTGACAGACGTATTCCACAAACATATTCATAGTGAAGATCACTGTACCAAGACAACCATCCGAGGATCTCACGCGCCTCATCCACGGTCCACCTTCTCTGTGGTTCCACCGCTACCGCCTTACACCCACATCCCACGTATAAAGCTAGACTCCTCCACTACACTCACTTCTCACTTTGATCCGCTACTAAACTACCGCGATCCAAACGCCCAGATCCATCACCAAATAACCCACGACTTCCCATACACGAACGTCACCACCGCCACATTCACCATGGCCGGAGATCTAGATACCCTCATCGACATGGGCTTCCCCCGCGAACGCGCAGAGCTCGCCGTCAAAGCCACCGGCGGCCTCCAGTCTGCCATCGATTGGCTCGAGACCAACCAGGACAAGTCTGTCGACGAGATCAAGCAAGAGCAAGCCACCGCCGCCGCCAACGCCTCAGACGAGCCACCTGCCCTCCAGCCCGGCGAAGAGGCCAAGTCACTCGTCTGCGATGAGTGCGGCAAGAGATTCCGCTCCGTCAACCAAGCCCAGTTCCACGGCGAGAAGACCGGCCACGAACAGTTCTCAGAGTCCACCGAGGAGATCGCGCCCCTCACAGAGGAACAGAAGGCACAGCGTCTCCAAGAACTACGCGAGAAGCTCGCCGCCAAGCGCGCAACGCAGTCCGAACAAGATAAAGAAGACCACAAGAGGAACGAGCAGATCCGCATGAAGGCCACAAAGGAGTCGCAAGATCTCCGCGAAGAGCTACAAAAGAAGGAGCGCTTAAAGGAAGCCGCCGCCAAGCGCGCTGAGAAGAAGGCAGACGAAGACGCAAGGAAACGCGTCCTAGCCAAGCTCGAAGCCGACAAGCAGGAGCGCAAGCGTAAAGCTGAGATCGAGAAGGCGAAGCGCGCCGGTCAGGCTCCTCCTCCGGCCCCTGTACAGGCGCCCCTCGCTACGTCCTCCGGTCCTACTACCAGCAAGCCTGCGAGCGCATACACCGAGGCGCGTCTGGCGCTGCAGACACCCAGTGGAAGAGTCATGAAGAACTTCCCGGTTGAGACTACGCTGTTCGAGGTTGCGCATGCGCTGGAGCAGGATGGCATGACTGTGTCGACTTTCACGACCAACTTCCCCAAGAAGATATACGACCGGAGCGACTTCGGTATGACGCTCAAGGAGGCGGGTATGGTGCCCAGCGCGGCTTTGATCGTCGGGTAGAAGCCGAGGCTTTTCGAGGACGTATTATGTAGATGCTTCTGAGGATGCATAGGGTGGCGTTGAGGTGGTGCAGGTGGTAGATACCCACAGAGGGATGCATATGGTAGCGTTGATGTATGTCGACAGCAGTAAGCCAGACCGTAGATGAAGTCACGATGAATGAACCATGAGATATACGGATTATAGATGCAAATATGTTGATATGTTCCAACGCCTACTAATGCTCGTCCAAGCCCCATACTCGTTCCCCGTGTACACAGCACCTCAGTCATATTCATCAATATCATACCTCCCCGCCTCCCTCTGCGTACTACACCACTCCTCACTCGCCAACCCACCCTCCTTCCTCCTCACCAAAGCCTCCGCATCCTTACACCAATCACACGCGAAATCACACTCTGGCGTTTCCTCATCCGCAAAGTACTTGGCAATGAGCCTATGCCGACATTTACTCGTGGTCTCACAGTAACCCACTAGTGCCTCTAAACTCTTCGCTCGATGTGTCATCTGCTGCTGCTGTGCCTGTAATCCCGCTCCTGCTTTAGGCTGACGAGCAATATCCCTCGACAGCGAATGCGCAGCTCGATCGCGGTCTTCGCGGCCGTAGTACAAGATGCAAATCGACGCTTTGCCGTCTCGGCCTGCGCGACCGGCCTCTTGGTAGAAACCTTCGAAGGATTTGGGGATCTGCCAGTGCACTACGAAACGCACGTTTTCTTTGTCGATGCCCATGCCGAAGGCAGTTGTTGCGACAACGACGTCGTACCCGGCTTTGTTGGCTACCCAGCCCGATAGCGCGTCTGCGCGGTCTGAGACAGAGAGGCCTGCGTGGTAAGGTTTTGCACCTATGCCGTCTGAGCGGAGCCGTGCGGCGAGTGACTCACAGTCTTTGCGGAATAGCGTGTAGATGATACCTGGGACGTTGTCTGAGCGCTGGTTCTGAGATGCTAGTTGCGAGGCACGCTCAGGATTTGCGGCACGGCGGGCGTGAATGGATTTGAGAAACTTGATGAAGTCGTCGTAGTGGTCTTCTGCGTCCGATTTAAAACGCACTTCGTAGTGGAGGTTTGGTCTGCTGGTGCTCATGCGGAACATCTTCAGCTTCTTCGGGTCCAAGGCGAGCGTGGTGATGATGTCGTCTCTTACACGCGCTGTTGCAGTGGCTGTCAGACATATGACCGGTACGTCAGGAAACTCCTTCTTGAAGAATGACAGTTGCTGGAATGAAGGGCGGAAGTCGTGTCCCCATTCGCTGACACAATGGGCTTCATCGACAGCGATGCGAGCCAGTTCTCCTTGAGAGTAGATGACTCGAAGGATCTTGCGGAAGTTGTCGCCCTGGCAGAACTCTGGTGTTACGTAGAGCAGGCGAGTTAAAGGATGACCGCATTGAAGGTCAGCTATGATCCTCTTTTTGTCTACCTGTGGCGTAGTGCTGTTGATCGTCTCGACTCTGATGTTGGCATTGCGCAGAGAAGCAACTTGGTTGTTCTGGTGACTAATGAGCATTGATCATGGGGATGCGATACTGTGCAGACGTACCATCAGTGCCAGCAAGGGAGATATCACAATAGTGACTAGCAAGATTAGCGGCGATGGCAGCTCCATGTTGACTTGAACATACTGCCGAAATCGACCACCGCGGGGAGCTGATAACACAAACTCTTTCCAAAAGAGGTTGCTGCCTGTAGGAAGACATCTTCGCCCTCCAACGTAGCCGTGACAACCTCGCGTTGTAATGGCCTGTAAAGAGATTCAGTATACGTAAGCCGTGGTGAGAAGAGTAAGATACCGGAAGCTTGCTTTCTTGAACACCTTTCTCAGCGTAAAATCGAGATTCGAGTACGGTCGTTTCCTTTTGGCAGGCATGACTCGCGATGTGAAGAACGGTGAAATAAACGGATGGAAGGGTCAAGGGATCAGATCCAGACTTTTCACCGCCCGTGTGGTCGTAGCAGTGGCTTTATCGGAAGGCGAAGGCCCATGTTGATTCAGTCGGATCAGAGTATGAGGAACCTAGGAAGTCGTGCTAAGTCCATGGCTTGCAAGAGCGACGCGAGGTCGCGCACGTGGTCAATCGCGCTAGCACGTGAGGCCCCACCTGGGCACAGAAAGATTCCATTGACTCCAGCGACTACCTCCACCATTTTTCATCTGTAGAACCTCTTGCTGCGAATGCCAAGGTAGCCGTTTCGCGAAATGGACAAGATGTCTGTATAACCCGGCCACCACTGGCGCGTCGCAAACCCTCCTCCCCACATCCCAATGCTCTCACCGGCAGCATCATGTCTGAGCCAAACTCACAAGCGCAACCTCCACCTGGTTTCGTAATCAAAGACTACTCAAACTTCCCACCAAAGACGCGCCTCTCCATCGCCGACAAAGTAGCCAAGCTCGAAAGAAAAGTCTTCCCAGCAATCGAGCATTTCAACTACGATGTAGAACTCAAGAAAAAGAACACGGGACTACTCCTGGTTTTCAAAGAAGACGATGCAGACAAGCTGATCGGATACCTCGTCTACCAGCGAATGAAGAGATTGGCTTGGCTACATAAACTCTGTGTCATCGAGCAAGAAAGAGGGAGAGGGCTTGGTAGAGCTCTGATACATTGCTTTCGTCATCAAATGGAGAAAGGGGGCTGTAGTACAATCTTTCTATGGGTAGACGAGAGCCGTTCTCCTGCTAGAGCACTGTATGCGTCGTGTGGCTTTCAGCAGGCGGAATGCCGTCCTGATTACTATGGACCTGGACGAACGGCCTTGAAGCTTGAGTTGTCACTCGACGACTGAACACAATCAAAAAACCTGGAAGTGGAGTTGAAGAGGCTATCCGCAGTTCAGTTCCAGCGAAGGTGAATACTGGTATCAGGGTGGGATGTGTAACTGGATATTCATTCGAGAGTAGGACATCACGGTCCTTTCATCTATTTCGTCATTTATCATCCAAAACTCAACAAAAAGCTATGTAGCAACGTTATCTATCCCAGACTGTCGAAGCCCCTACACCATACGCCATACCATGCAATAATCGTTCTGTCGCCGGCTCCTACAACTGAATATCGTTGTTCAGCAACCGTACTTCCTCACCGGGCTTGAACGCCGGCAGGCCAATGTACGGGCATCCGTCACATCTGAACGCATCGCCCAGTGCGCAGTTTCCGCAGCTGCCGACCTTTCCTTGTACTGTAAAGTCTACCTCGTCGAGGTCGTCGGCATCCAACTTGAGCGAGTTCAATGCTTTATCGGCGGAGGTGCGTTTGGCGGCGTCTTCGGCTTCGAGTTTCTCCTTCATACCGCAGGTGCAGTCTTTACATGCGCGTCGTCGCTTGCCGGGCTTAGGTTGGCATTCGAGTGCTGTAACCATGTTAGCAGGGCCCCTTATGGTAGTAAGAGGACTTGACGTACGTTGGAGGACTGGACGAGCCATATCTGCCTCTGTAATGAGGTCGTCCTCGTCAATCAGATCGTCATCCTCGCCCGTGATGATTGGATCGTCGAGATCATCACTGAAATCGACGAAGCCCACGCCTGCTGCTGGCTTGACGGGCTCAGGCTGGTTGCGCTTGCGAAGGTTGAGCGGAACTGAACCATCCGGGTTGACTGTGCCATTTGCGCCGTTCGTTCCGTTTGTTCCATTCGCGCCATTTGCCTTCTTGCCGAACTTCAGCGGTATCGACACCGGCTCCTCTTGCTCGGGCTTGGTCATGCCATCGGCCGTCTCTGTCAGTCCTGCCAGGATAGCCTCTGTCTTCTCTGCGCCTTGGAAGGGGCCTGCCTGGCTCTTAAGAACACCCCCCACCTTCAGTGCGCTGACTACTTTGTTCATGACATCCCGTGCCAGCAACTTGTGACTTTCGCGCGTGGTACCGTCGGCGTCGGCGAGGAGGAGAACAACATCGTATGTAGACGCGGGCAGATTGACCAGACCAGCGGCGATACGGTCAAGCATCTGCAGGTCAGTCGAGTTGCGATCGTGGATCTCGTAAACTTGGTCAAGTCGCTCTGGGTGCGCCGCAATCGACGGTGTGCCGATCAGAAGGCATCGCGGGGCCATGGCGGGGTATCGTGGCGCTGTGTGTCGGTGGAGGGGCAGATGAGTGTTGCAAAACCAAAGTGTATCGAGGTATGAACTATGCGAACAGTGTGCAGAAGCGGGAGAGAAGAAAAGCGTGTTTCAACGAAAGGCGCGTCCCGGGAAACTTTTCTGGTCTGCGGCCTCGGAGGCGGAGAAAGCGCTGCTGATGCAATCACTGAGAAATCCGCGGCGATTGGTCATACCACCCTGGGCTGATTACGAGCTGACCGGAACACGTGATTCCGGATCAAGTGGGATGGCGGCATGTGTGTGCGAGTGGATCCAGCGCATTAGCGTGCGAGGAACAAACATCTAGAATCTGGGGTAATCACCGTTGCGCTGAAGCCATGGCACGCAGGAGGCCATTGTAGACAAATCTTGGAGATTGTTCTTCCTCGATAGCATCGTTGACCTGCAATTGACTCATAGACCAAGTTTGCGCATGGCTGTGGTGCTGTGTCTCAATGAATCGTCGCCCACGCGACACCGCCGGGGGGATTCAGGTACCAGTGACGTACCCTTCCCCTCGTTGCTTCCTCAAAAGCTCAGGGTCACCGAGATCCGACCGACAACAATGTGTGTCCAGTTACTGTATACAGGTGGAAGCTATGAGCACAACTGCAGTAGCCGGAGCTGGGCAGCTGAGGGCGAATCTTCTAGAGGCGCGTCGTTCCAGGGCCCATCTTGGTCGCGATATAAAGGCAGGAGCTCCTCCCAGCTTCCCCGCCTTCCAACGCCAGTCGCGTGAGATGCATTGCGCCTTCCTTTATCAAACCAGCCACCATCGTCTCTGCTAACCTCGTCTTCACTAACACATTGCTGCCACTTGTCCACAGATCTGCAAGGTACGCATCTGGCCGCGTTGCTTCACGCAAGACGACGCCATCGGGTCAAAGCTCCCATCACGAGACCATGTACTGACCCGCTTGAGCTTCTTACAGTCACAGTAGCTCCGAGCCCGCCGTTGCAGGATACTTCAATCCATTCTGACTTTCTTCCATCACATCACAGACAACCTCTAGTCAATCCATCGACTCAAGACATCAAACAGTAAGTGTTGCCTTTCATCTTGTCTACCGGCGCTCTTGCCTTCTTCGCATTGAGTCTCTGAGGTCGATATGACCTCAATGGCTCATCGGCGTAAGACGGCAGGAGGCTCTGGAGAAAACCAAGGTTGTTCATACATCGTACTGACATCTGAAGTGACTCGCTCTCACAAGTTCACTGATCGCGACCACGCCGGCATTGCTGATGGCACTGCCGAGCGTGAGACGCGACTTCCCAAATACTTCGCCAAATCCGGCCATGCCGACACCGACCCGACCAAGACAAAGAAGGGTGGCAGCGGCAAGGGCAATTGGTGAGTACAGTCTATCTGCTTCCTTACTATCCGCTCGAGAGACAGTCGCAACTCGCGAGACAGCTCTTCCTTCATGAGTGGTTGTATCATAGAACCCATGACTGACAACATCGTTCCAGGGGCGCCGCTGGTGACGAGGTCGAAGATATCAGGCCCAATATGGCTTACGCCCGCCGTCGAAGCAATTCGTCCACCCACAACATGAAGGACTTCAAGACCAAGTTCGAGACCATCGAGACCGAGCCCGTCTTCGAAGAAGAGATTCACGGCCCTCTTGGTGAAGAACTCGAGAAACAGAGCACCACCTCGACGGAGAACAGTATCGCCGAGGAGGAACACGACAAGAAGATGTAAAGGCTGAGTGTGGAGCCTACGGATAATGGCATGGCTGCGTGTCGACTGGCTAGTCGGCATGTGGGAAGCCATCGCTTGCCGCGAACAATTTGACCGAGCAGATATCGTCGTCTTTCCAGGCTGATATGCTCACACATGTACCATGTTTCTCTGGGAGGAAGTATTACGTTCTCTAGTACGGCCATGCAAGTTCACACGGGCATGCATGGTCGGAAGTTGACCACAATGGCGTTTTCTGACAACTGTAACGAGTATGATAAATGATAAATCAAACACAAACACAACGCACTTGACTCTTTTGCTATATGTGACTCGAGAAAGATGGCGCTCTCATCTGAATAGACAGCATGGTAGATTGCGAGCAGAATCGTGTAATGAATAGCAGATTCAATGAACGACCAAGCGGTTGCACTAATTCCCTCGTGTATATAAGATCTGTTGTTAGTAAAGTACGGGCGTAGTGCAGTGAATTGTTAGATGATGGTGCGTGCCTGGCGACTCACTAGCAGCCCTGGAGCTGGCTCCAAACTCCGGGCGCTAGCGTTGGTTGGATCCCTGCCAAAACAGAACAACTCAGCGAGCAACATCATCACCGGCGCGCTCCTTCGCGTTTTCAACCGCCATCTCCAAACTCTCGCATCATGTTTTCGCCCGAGGCGTCCATCGCGAGCGCGCGCAGCTCTTTGCGCAACCCCCGACGCAGACCGCGGCCGGAATCTGAGAGCCTACGAAGCAGAAAGCGCAGTAAACTCAACGACGCGACCTTCAAGGACCCTGCCGACGCTCACATCAACGGAAACGGAAGTGCCTCGACAAATGGTCACGCGGTACAGAGTGTCGACCACTCAGTTGTTGTGGTTGACATGCCCTTGAGCATTCGGGAGAAGAAGACGGCACCGAAGCGCGCGCCCAAGGAGGACACGGGCACGTATCTTGTGAGTAGATGCGCATCTACGCGAGACGGCACTGCTAACATGAGACTGCAGACCAAGAACGCAAACTACAGTGTCAAGAAACTGCCTGGCTTCCCGTCAGCGCTCCTCCGCCCATCGAGTACGGCCTACACATCGTCACCCACCGCAATGCGCGCCTGCTGACACACATCTCTAGCTCCGATATATGCCACCGCCCTCCCCTCCGCCGGCCTCGCGCTTGCCCTGACATCAGACCGAGCCCTCGTCTGGGACTACAGCGCCCCGAACGGCCCTTCAAAGGTCGTCTCTCTAAACCTGAACTTCGGCCTAAGACCAACTGAACCTCTACCGCTCGGCGCCATCGTCCGCAACGGCCCCACCAACGACTACGGCATCGTCGCGCTCGCGCCTTCGACAGGCAAAATCAGCTTCTGGGAGAACATCGACAGCGCAGACACTCGAAGCCTATACCCCCAGCGCCAGCAAGGGGTGGATGGCTTTGTGAAGCTGTACTCTGGGGAAACCATAACCGGCCTGGTCGATGTCGAGCACGCGGGCTACGTCCTGGTCTTCAGCAGCGGCAGACTCGCTCAGCTGACTCTGCGCGATTCTCAGGGTCGACCAAGCGTTGCGACAACAGTCTTGAGCGCACCAAATGGCTCGGGAGGTAGCTTCTTCAGCTTCAAAGGCCTTCTCGGAGGATCCATCCGGAAGACCATCGCCTCCGTCAAGGCCCGGACATCGCAATCCAAGGGCCACATGGAAGTCATCTCGGCGACGCGAAACGGCCTCTTTCAGACCTGGGACTTGAGCTGGTCAGGACAAAACAGCCACCAACGAGACGTAGACGTATACGATGCGATCCTGTCGGCAGTTCAAACAGACACCGTTCCAGAAGTACG